AAGCCTCTCCATTCTTTTCCACAGCTCGTCGGAGCTGTTTGTTGGTTGTGGCCGCCAGTAGGTTAATGTACCCACTGACGATACGCTCAGCCTCTGCAAAGCGTATGTTAAACGCCCTCGCTTCGTCTGCGAGGAAGTTAGTCAAGGAAGCACCCATTGACTCGGGGGGGTTTGGGGGCGAGTATTGGCAGTTCGCCTCGCAAATCGGTTCTGCGTTTGCTTGTGTGTTGTTGTAGTGGTGGTTAGGTGGCCCTGTGAGTACCATTTCGACGTCAGGACGCGTCGAATTTACGGTGGGAGGGGGGGCCAAGAGCCAGCCTCTGCGGAGGGCTGGGGCGGCATGGCAAGGAGCAAATCAGAGAAGGTTGAACAGTAGATAATCGTGTGTCTAGCGCGTTATTGAGGAGTGTTCTACGCTGCGGTGCATGCACCAGGTCTGTTACACGGACGCCAAGTATTTTTTAGCTGAAAATTACCCAAAACGCCAAGTTTTTCTGAGGCAATCACAAATTATGTCAGGTACCAGCTTGGCATATTATTCTGACAATAATGTTACGATCATGTTAGAAGAATGGAATTTACATGAATCACGAAACATTAATTCAGGAATACGAATTCCACCAGGTTCTGATACTGGTCTGACAAGTCCCATCATCGAAGGGTTCCAGCTGCAGCCAGACTGAGATATCACAATGGATCCCAATTCTGACGTAAGACAAAGGCCTACAAGAAAAGATCAACTAAAAGACTCGTCGTCATGCCCTGACTCCCGCGCTGGAATTATTATTATTATTTTGATTTTGATTTTGATTTCATTTAACCCGATCAGGCACCCTATGGGTCCATGCAGGTGACTATCTTCATTATTTACAAAGGGGGAAACCAATTTGGTGAAAACCCCCTGATCCTGCCTGTTTAATAGCTATCAAACTACCCTAGTTTACCTTCAGGAAGTGCATTTTACACTGTTAAGCCAGTATGGACTCCGTTCTCTCCCCTTCCTTATCGATTCATTTTTCCGACCTTGCTGCCTCCACTTTCCCCGCAAGTCGAAACTGTTTTATCCATCCTTTGCTTAGTATCCACTGTGTGATTCGAGCGACATCCTCTGGACTTTTCATCATTGCTTCAAATGACCTGTCTTTAGCTTGTCGGAGAACATCGCCTCTTCCACTTGCCCACTACGGACACGCCAATAGCATGTGCTTGACGTTCTGTGACGGATATCCACATTGACAGCGAGGGATTTCTACTCCGGGTACCTTTCTTCTGTATAGGTAAGAATTGAGGCCGATATGCTCGCTTCTTAGCTGAATCGCGACACTGCTTTGGGCCCTGCTCAGGTTACGGTGGATACTTAAAGGTGTACCTCTGAAGTTAATTTTTGTACTGCCTGTTTTTTTATCGGTGAATATATTTGCGGCTTATTATTATTATTATTGTTATTTGAATTTGATTTAATTATCCTGATTTGGCGCCCTATGGGCCCATGCAGGTGTCTATCATACTTTTTAATTTACATGGGAGGAAACTATTTGGTGAAAACCCCCCGAACCTTCCTGCTTAATTTCTATGTTTTTTATAAAGTATACTTTAGGAAGCGCAATTACACTATCGTGCCCTCCATGTAACCCAATCACATCAGCTTTATCGACCTCAAGAAAGGCATGACCTGTTCCTTTCCCTCAGCATCATTTCGAACGCCTTTGTCATTTGGAATTGCTCTATCTAACCATGATTTAGGATCCACTGGGTTATCCTTTTGATATCTCCTGGATTGCTTAGCATAGCTTCGTAGGACCGGTCGTTCGCTTGTCTCCAGATCTCTCCTTTTCCGTTTGATCATCGAAGGCAGGACATAATCATGTGCTTGGGGTTCTGTGATTGGAAGCTGCATGGACAGCTTAAACTTTCGACCCCCGGGTACTTTTCTTTTGTATATAAACGAGTTAAGCCCCACGTGATCATTTCGTATTTGAATCGCTAGACTGCTTTGGGCCTATGTCAGGGTTATTATTATTATTACTATTAATTCATTTTATTGTCCTGTCTGAGTCTATGACTATATGGGACATGAAGGTCCTCTCTGCCTACAGGCCAAGGATACCTATGCCAGTAGTATATCCCCTCCTATGCCTCTTATACCTCCCATACAGCTCCCATCAATCAGTGCCACCCCTCACGAGTCCTCATTCGATCATACACTTAGATGAGCCCTTTGCCCTTCATCATGCCCCATCTCTAGCCAATGAAATGATGGCCATTTGCGGGTGTATAGCAGCCGGGAAAATCGCAAAAACCACTGCGTGCGGGGTTCTCCTAATACCAACATTAGGACTAAATACGAAGACATAGTCCTTCGCAATGGCAGCCTGCTAAGCGTGGCCCAGTCGATTTCGATTGACACATGGGCTAGGTTCCGTTCCTGGCACGATGGATCAAAAGTTTAAGTTTGGGCCTCTTCTATTCAGTCTTCTAACAACTTCCCGATTGAGTTTGACTGGGAGGACTTTACGACTCACCAACAACCCTCCAAAACCAAAGGTGAAATTCCTTTCGCTTTCAATCTTACTAACATTGTGTCCAGGACTGGGCAATCACTCGGCCTCATTTTGGACAAGCACCTCGACCGCGACATCAACATTCTCAACTTTTCGACACATTCCAAAGACGGCGCGAACGAAGAAGCCTCACTCAGACAACGAACAATGTACGACCAAAGGCTGGGGCACCGATGCCTTGGTTTTGAGCTCTCGATTTCGGAATTTTAGCCCTCTCAAATGGGGGTTGAGCGCAATGCAGGGGAGAATTTGGGAAGAACGATATGTAATTTTCAACAGGCTGTTGGTACAGTTGGTCGGGTGCTGGATGTGCTTTCTAGAAGTTGTAGGTTGGATTCCTACACGGCTTGTTGAAGGGGGGACTACGGCTGCTCGTCTTGAAAGAGTACAGGAGGAATTATTGAGGTTTTCCCACGAAGGTTTTCCATCAATACATGGTCTTAGGATCATGGTGAATGCGTTCCTACCTATTCGACCCGATGTAACTAGCGTGAGGTACGTATTTGGAAAAGTCAGGCACCGGATGGACTTTGCTGGAGAATGGAGGAACTTGTTTTCTAGATTCCCTCTATGCGTGTCACGTCCATTGGATGGAGGTTGTAAGCCTGGCACGATAAATAAATCATCATCATCATCATCATCATCCGAAGACATAGTGATCCTTCTGAAGCGTTCGAAGAGGCCGGCCAGCTGGGCGCTGCAGACTTGTGGGTACATCGGGAAATTCCCCCTCTGCCTTTCTAGCCTCCCTCCGACTTCTTCCCAAAGGTCGTGGTGAATTGTCAGAAAGATCTTGACAGAGCGTGATTGCTGTATGGTAGCTTAGCCCAACTTCTTTTGTGCCGTTCAGGGCGCTGGGGAATGCCGTTGACTCATCGACAAAAGAAGCCCTCCTGGCTAATTAGCCGAAATCTTGGTTTTGGCGCCCACAAAAAATCCAAAGTTGAAAACTGCTCGAAAATGTCAGTCTCGGCATGCTCTTCAGAGACCTCTTCTCCCTCTCGCTCCACATCTCAGCAGCCTGTCCTTCCTCAAGATGTACAACCCCATTAGAGCATCAGTCACCCAAAAGCCAAGACCCCAACTTTGTATATAATGACTTAATTCCCTCCTTGCGGGTATACGTAGCGTCGTAAATTTGTAGTGAGTGATGGCCGGGGATGAATGAGGAAAGCTCCTGTTTGAAATTGGGGTGACGCCTTTATTGGTCGTCGAGGCGAGATGATATGTGGTTAGATCAAGGTTCAGGACTCAGAAGATAATGATGAGTGCTGCATGATTGAGAAGTCGTCAAATGGAGATATGCATGTGTTTGCTCTCGACTTCGGTTCGGATGCGATTCTTCTTGGCTACGCGCTGGAATTCAATCTGCTCTCCATCGATGGTTTGTTACACGAATAATCACTTGATTACCGCTCCCATTTCAAATCCTAGAATCTCGCATCACACAAATAATCTACCCTGATCACGAATGACCTGACAGGCTGACGTAAGGCCGTTCTTAGTATAATGGCTTGTCATACCACGTGATGATAGGATGGTAAGGTTTGTATGGATCATGCGGGAACATGAACCAGGCCGTCCTACTGATCAATAGAAACTCCCAGCCGGGATTGAGGCTTACAGACGTTAAAGCTTGCATGCCGACTGCTACGTGAATTGGCTGTGGTTTTTTCGACAGTTAAGCCCCTGCTTGCATATTCTCTTTTAGAACATGTATTTCAACAGCCGGGGCTATGTGCAACGTCGCTTGGCCTTCCTGTGCGGCTTGTTACAGTATCTTTTTAAAACCATCACCTCCTATTCCCCCTACGATCAGATACTAAATTGGATCCTTCCCTGACCCTTAGAATTGCTTCTGACTGACTAGCCAACAAGTTCCCACACAGCTCTATGAACATCACCATCATCCGACGTTTATCTGCCGTTTTCCTATGTACGATAGGCCGTTAGAGCACCCAGGTTTGTCAGACTCCAGTGATACATATTCGGCTGCATTAGAATGGCTCTTCGCCTTAATCTCATAGATTCAAGTAGTACACAGTTTTTAATCATTTTCAGCAGAAAGTCAGGTAGATTCTAGGCTATCCACGCCAATAATCATAAACTATGATTTGCATCAATTACCTTTCAGCTGTAGCTTACAAACTCGTGCTAGTATTGCGCTGCCAATCAAAGCTATGATACGGGCGTTAATAGAATTTCTCTCGGATGCAGGCTTTGAAAATTTATCAACGTTGCTATCAACCTTATCATCACCCACTGCCTGACGATCGTTGGTCACATCATTTGGAGCAACTTTCGTCGTATCACACCCCCGAAACACATAAACCTTATGCATCAAATAATTCCCTGATCTTTCTGTCTCCGGTTGGATCCGTTTGCGTCGAACTGTTAAGTGGAATTGTAGAATAGTACAGTGCATGAGTCACCTTCGATATGACACCATGTAACTCTACGGAAATCCATGTGCACATCCTTTTCACTGGAGTCTTTGCCATCCTCTGTCTTCGGGATATGATGCGTCATAGTTGCGTTGATAGGTCATCGGAGGGACTATGGACTAGATCGCGAAATAAGACGCTAGGTGTCTTCTGTCCTGATGAAACTACCCGTCTCCCACCTTGTTCAGGTCGTATTCTCGGATTATTCCCCGCTACGGTTCTTACCTCAAGAAATCAACAGGATAACCTGTATTTCGGGCTCTTACACGGCATGTGCGGTGACTACGCAATTATGGGACCGGTCCTGTGGTATGAGACTTCAAGCTCCACTCTCAGGAATTCCCTAAAAATTTGGAGTGAGCCGTCACTCTAGCGTCGATCCCTCTCCTTTAAAATTCAGTTTGGTAATCAGAACCGGTATTTCTGACACAGGATATAAATATCTAGAGAGGAAGAAAACCATACTTTAAAATTCCAAAGTTTTGTCAGCTGTGCAAGAAGTCAAGTAACACATCTCATCTAAACGGTCACAAGATACTTTTGTCCCACCAATCATCTTACAGATCTTCATTTTAGTCCAAGGCTTGTTTTTTTACTTAACGTCGTACTAGCTCACAATGTCCAAGGCTTGACTCGACTGGATGGAGCTTACAGCCAGCTAGGTAATGAGATTTACACGTTAATGGCTGGATCAGCGACCGCGTTTGGCCATGAGATGTCACGTGGAGAGTTAGGACTTCATGATAGCTCATCCAAATGCTTCTGATGTGCGGATATAATATCATCTCTAGACATAGTCTAGCGCAAATAGTCTATTTATTCGTATTGAGCTATATGGGGAATAGGCCTGACAGTTAGATCGTTTGACACACCTTACTTCTGCTTTACACTATGAATACAAGCTTACCTAATCAAATAATTCACATAATTATTCGAAAAGCAATCAATTCGTAATCAGACAGATGCCAATAAAGATAACGCATCTTTATGCTACTGAGAAGCTCTGGCTAGGCCTGCTTAACCAAACCTTCGGAATTAGGGCAAATTATAAATGTCTTATCAATCTTATCAAATTAATTCCTGGTATGATAGTTTGACTGAAAATGAGACCCATGAAATCAAACTCAAATCGTCCCATGCTCAAACACGTCTACTAGCCGATAATTATCTTTAAAAATACTTGTAATGATGAACTATGTGGTCCCCTGGAGGAAAGAAGCAAAAAGAGGGCTTTTCTATGGGTCGAACGAGGATACTAATAAAGAGCTTTATTTTCAACCGAAGAGTTGAGTGGATATAGGGTAAGATTTTAATAATAAGCTCAAGCCTCGTGCTATAACTTCAACTAGCTTGTTAGAAACCCCCTAAATGGATGGCCAACTACATTTATCAACTGGACCTCACTGATCATCACCATCCCTCAAATCCATCACGTCAATACCCTCGAATAAAGTATCAGGCCACTTGGGTCGTTTCATAAGGCCTCTTTACACTCTTGAGTAAACCCTACTATCTCGTAGGTAAGGGGAGTAAGCTTCAAGCCATGGTCTTATTAAAAAGCGGTCAGGATTTTGCGCTTGAATGACCATAACCCTCGATCTTCAGACATACTCGAGGCCTCGCGATAGAATCGATCGCTACGCTCCAATCATTCTTAAATTGGGCTCTAATCTACTGTCCAGAACCTATGATAATAACATCCTATCACTGGCGAGTACTAACTATGGTGTTACCTGGTATTTATCACCGACCTCTTTGACGTGATTTTGCGAGCTTTCAGAGCCAGGGCGCCTCATAACCTAGCAGTAGCGAGGCTCAACCAGCCCGATTTTCAACCTATCCGAAGGAAATTAGAGAAAGAAAAGCAGACCAAAATTTCTCATAAAGTATTCGTCAAACAGTACTCATACGAGGGTGCAAGGGGCAAAGAAATATTTACTCTCTACATAAGCAGAGGGTCGCTGCGAAGACTGTTCCATTTATATCTTACATCATCCCAGAATATCGCTACTGCAATTCAAGAAGAGCTAAATATGTAGTGATATTGCCCATCTACCCAACCCCTGTCTTGAGTACTAGACGAAGTTGATCTGGCCATGCTCAACTGCAAGATAAGGTTACGAAGGCTACGTGGAGAGTTAAATTTACATCATCTCAGAGATGGAGATCATCTCAGTGTTTGGTCACAAATCGTGCATATTCTTTGCTAAGCACTTTCGTGTTGCATGAGTATATCCCTTACGCACCTCTCCTAATCTCCCAAGCTTTGTGCGTAGGAAATACTCAATCAGGCTTTAAATTTCAGTTCAGTCGACATGCTTTATCTTCTAACTGCACCCTGTTGTAAGCAGAGCTGATTCTCTAGAAGATCACTTGATTACTTTGGACCCAGCGCAAATTTTAGGACATTTAGCCGAGTGCATAGCTCTGCAGTATCTGTCAACAAGCATCTAGGCTCTTCAATATATACCCTTGGAAATTGGTCATGATCAAATTACCAAAATCCCGAGGAGCTCTGCAAAGACTCCAGAGAATAGCTTAGTCTCGTGGTGGTGTGGATTGTCATGTCTCAGAAATCTTTCGAGCCGAGGCCTAGCTTTCCACTGCTCTAGTCGACAATGGAGTAGGCAAAAGTATTCCCTTGACTTTTGTCAATTTACCATGGTATGACTTTGTGTAGAAAGCGGAGAGGGTTCACTGCAAGGCTCCCGATTGGCCGTGCAGTGCTGTGTAATTGAGCTATCACATTGTTTCATAGCTAGTCAAAGAGAGGAAATTTTGGCCACTCGTGTCAGAGTATCCAAGTACATCAAGTCACCACTACCAATAGTCTAACAACTCTACGTAGTTGGTGCGTAGGATCCCCAAAGATATGCACAAGCGATAGGCCTTGGATCACATATCTCGTAGAAGCCGATATTGAGCTGCATGAAACACTACGATTATTTCCTGATTACTGCCCGTTGACTAGCACTATGATACTCACCTAATCATTGCTTGGGCTTCTTCAACCCACTCGCCTGCTCTAAATCCCTGGAGATATGGTATTCACGTAGAAGCTAGAGCGCGACCACGAGATTCCCTCGGAAAAATGATGCCTAAGTGTCTAAAGGTGTGTTCAGAAACTGCATTGATGACTACCTCTGGCGGCTAACAACTAGCTTAGCCTGCCCAATTGCCCCTTGCCTCATATCACCTCACTGATAATCTGAATGTTCTAATTGAGTGGAACCTGTTGCACGATTTACCTACGAGTAATTTCGAGGTTACCTACCTGGTTTGAGCTACTGGATATGAGAACATTGTTAGATACAGACATGCAAAAGATCCCTGTTGTATATTATGCAGACTATCTTGACGGTAAATTTGGCAGCAATGCTACAATTTAATTGACATGTCATCATGATATCACAGAAGTAGAGTGTTCTCAATACAAATAAATCCTCGCTCCTACTCAACATTAAATTCATTTTCTGTTAGTAAAGTCATCCCATACCTTCTTCCCAGAATCAGAAAAGAATCCTTCGAAATGTGTAACGTCCACATCACCCTCACCACTTACACCTGCAACCATCAAATCCGCAGATATATCTCTCGTCCATGTGTAAAGAACTGTTCTGACGAAAACAAGATTTTCCTGGCTCCTGATATGGCTAAAAGCATGTGTCCTACCTGCATTAGTATCGTGCGATCGTAGGCTCTTTCTACCCATCATTGGCCGCAACTAAGATTTTTCTAGAGCACGTGAAGCAGCCCTGTCAAATCCTCGGTGAATTTTTAAAGGATTTAGAGCTAGCCAATGATAGGAGAGGAAATAAGTGCCATTTTGAGATAGAGAGTCGAGCCCGTTTTTATTCAGCTATTAAGTTTCTACCTTACTTATTTTTGATCGTCGAAGACAGGACGTCAGATCATTGTCATCACCTTGGTATTTGAGCGGCCATCATTTTCTATCTGATGATCAACGTCGATATGCGATTCTTTCCAGCCGTGAAATCGAAATATAAACTATAAATTAGTGGGGGAATTTGTGGCTGTGACTGGACCAGAAAATTTCAGTGAACGATCGATAACTCTGACTGATATTTCTATTTTTTTCCAAAGATTAGTTTCATTATCATTATTATTATTTTAAACCACCAATTTCAAGTAATTTGTGACATATGAGGGAGAGGGCGTGTGTGTAAAGCCTGAATATGTGATTAAAGGTTGTTGATTTGCATTAGTCGGATAATTTTTTCATTTATATACAAATTCTCCTTGACCTCAGAGTAATGGGAGCTCGCTAAAAATATTAATCAGTTTTTCAATTTTTATTAAGTCATCTGGATCCAAAGTCTCATATTTACACATTATGTTGATTAAGAATTTTGGGAGAGTCCTTATCACGGTATAAGATCCTTTGTATAAGCACTCTTGCTGTAGATATTTATCAGAAGCGTGATATTTTTTACTTGTTAATCTGTAAAATTAAATTGGGTCATCTTAAGTTTGTTAAACTTCATTGGGGGGGTGGTGGAATCCTGGTGGTCCCATGAATTATTGTCTCCCCAAATCAATGAACAGACTCATACATCAATGAAAGAGGCTTTCTGAGTTTTTCTAAAAGGTGCAGCTCCACCATAATGTATGTAGTAAGGTGTAAAGTTGTAGTTAGATCTTAGAGGGTTTTTTGCTGTTTAGTCCACTACATTGAACGAGCCTTGCTCTAAAAAATTTAGGCCTAAAAAAATGCTTGCGAGGGCAATCTTCTCGCGTGTAATCTAGTTGGCTTCTTGATCGAGTACTAACAATGCCATTAGGTCTATTTCCGAGAATCATTACCATAGTTCCTAGCACTATGCCCTGGTGAACAGGCACAGGTAGAACAATTTGGAGAATAGCTGCCAGGACTGACAAAATTTAGATGATGATTGAAATATGAAATTATCTTCGAATTACCATTTCAATCCCCTATATAATCATGCCTATCTGTTATCTGCATTATGGTTCAAAATTAGTTGAGGATCTTTTCTTTTGAAAGGTTGATTAAAATTACCTCACGAAATCCGCATAGCTCCTGATCAATAATACCATCTTTGGTGTCTATTTGTCCAACACCTTAGCTTCATTGCATTCCTTTCGCCCAGTTGTGCTGTAAATGCTGTTTCCGTACACAAAGACACTCTGGTTATTTCATTGAAATTTTTGATATAAAAAGCCTCTGAGTAATGCGCCAGCATAAGTTGGTTCATAATAGACATAGCTAGCAAGGTGGTAGGACTTTGCCTAACTTTGTGAGAGCTTGGAAAACCTGATCTGCGTTTTTGAATCTTTTCTTCCAACAGCCTAGAATGACTGATCCTCCCAAGATTGTATCTACATTTGGAAATATTTCCCTCGAAAATTGCGCTGTCACTTGGTCTTCTGATAGAGATTCATAGGGCTCATGGCCTGTCATAAAATAGTAAACGACAGATCCGAAAGCAAATAGATCTGTCTGTACGGTAGGAGTTGAACACTCTTCTCTTGGGAGGAAATATCTTATGCTTTCCATGACTTTTGCTTCCAGGTCGCCGTACATAGACTCTGAGAAGTCGCATAGTCGCAGATCAAGCGCATCATACAACAAGAAGTTATTCGGATTAAGGTCACAATGTATGACGCCTTGCGAATGGATGAAAGCTAATGCTTCTGCGCCTTGTATCGACCATTTAAGTCGAAGTTGTGTCGAAATGTTTTTAGATGGAACAGATGTCATGTAAGACCGAACGTCACCATATACGGCGCGTTCAAAGCGAAGGCCATACTTTTCCTTGCCCAGATATTTGGTGATTCTAGGGTGTTTTCCCAGAGCCGAAAGGATACATGCTTCACACTCGATATGCTCAATGTTGTAAGGGTAGTTTTTATTTCTTGGAAACTTTAAGACCGTTCCGTCCGCCAAAAGGCCAAAAAGTCCTGTATTACCTGCTGATATAATATCAGACACATCAGGCGGTATCCATAGTTCGGCCTCAATGTCTCCCATAATTGTCTCTGAATGTAACGGTCGGTGTGGTACTCCCCATCACAGGGTATTGGCGTGCCAGAATCTGTCAGGAATGGCGTACTACGGGTAACACGAGGGAATGCCGGGGTAAAGGCTGATTGGATAGCCTCAATAATCACAGACCTCAGCACCAACAACTATTCACCAAACTACAATGTTCACACCTGATAAATCTTGTTTCATTTCAGCTTGTGATACCCGCATGAGATAATGATTACCAGGGCGTAGCTGATCAAAAGAATTGTGCTTCGAGAGCCTGATATAATTCAACTATTCTCTTATTTCTCACTTTGGCGATCTGATCAGTATATCAAACCAAGACAAACGAGAGATTTCAGAAATATTTCTCAAGGTAAACCATGCCAAGTCAATTTTCGCAGTCCATTAATTTTGACTGCACCCTCACAGCTGCACTATCAACGGCAAATTTCGAACAGAAATCAGCAAAAGCCGACTGTATACATTATTACACAATTCAAAGTCGATTCATGTAAACATTATAGTTAGCTTTCTTCAAATTGTTTTAGGAAAGTGGGAAGATCTTTCCATTTTTATTTTCCAAAAAAATGCCATTGAAATCAGCCGTCAGATTTAATGCGTGTTTCAGAATTGTCTTTCCTGAGCCCCATCAAAAATTGATTCTTAGAGCAATGCACTAACAAGTTACACACTATCTGAGTTCACTATATTTACATATCTCTTCAGCTATTGCGCACATGTTGACTACTCTCAAAACTTCTCACTTAACTCTATCGGAGGCAACAAGCAATCTTCGTGAAGCAATAAAAGAACAATGCAAGATAACAGTTAGGATATTTAAAACAACACGGATTAAGCAGGATTCAAATCGGGCAAACTTAGCTTCGTTTACTTAGACGTGAAAATTAAACACGAGCACTAAAACTCTAAGATTAACATATGGCTGCAGTAATCTAAAAAGTGGGAGGACAATGTCTAAATACCTGTCCCCGGTGTCCTCTACAAGCCTGCGAGTGAAATAATTTCTCGGAGCCAAGTCCAGTCAAATTTAGTGATGCTGAAGAAGTTGGCTCACGAGCCAATTATTCAAGGCTCTCCAGCAACTCCAATTCCCTATTCCAAAAAGATCGTTCTCGACCAAAGCATCTTCAAGTCTGCAAGGAAGACCTAGCAAATCTTCACCCCTATGACCACATCTTTTGTCAAATCAATCTCTGTTAGACAGTGAAGGGCAAATGAAAAATATAAAGTAAAATTGTATTGATGAAATCTCTGCTCCTCAACTCCTCTCCGGCCTTGATGCTATAAACCCATCTGAAACTATTTCCAGGAGGGATCATCTTCTCTTCGTTTCCCAAAATTAAATATGAAATACATTACATGTGTTGGAGATCAAAAGATCTCAAGTTGGAGCTTTGAATACACTGAACACCCTGATCACAATGTCCCTGGTGAGATATCAAAACTCGAGTGAGCTAATCCGAGATGTGTCATTCCAATATCCAATGATTCTTATTACTATATTCAGTAGGTTCCAAACCATCAGATGTTTGACAGTCTCTTACTTTAAGCGCCCTCCAAATATATGCCCACGCAGATAATTATACAAGTCAGAGGGGATAATTCTTGGCGCACAAATCTAGCAGACAAATGTTCTGAATGGACGTATGAGAAACTAGATCATATAGAATATGATGCACACTGTGAATGAAATCTTAGAAAGATTTAGACTTCAATTTTTGGGAGCAAGTTTTTCATATTGAACACTGTGTGCTCCTCGACTTAGAATGACTAGATAAACTGATAATAAGATGCTTATCTAATAGTGAGGGAAAGTGATTGATTGAACTTCATGAAATATTTCTCTGTAAGTACAATTTCATCCATCTTCCATCATCCATCCGATAACCTTCGTACAGACCATGTAATCTTCACATACTATTATACAAGCTCGATGTGTCATCTTATTTTAAGCATGAAAGAAAACCATAATTAGCTCCATTATCACAAACAGTAACATTCAGGAGCGATCAATGAAAGTACAAGATGACTAGTCGTAGATGATTACATAACTACAAGACGTTACAGAATAACTTCAGAGATTAAGTTTGATCGAGGGAGACTATTCTCAACACCTGACAGTGGTGTTCCCTTCGAACCTCCAACTCTCACTGTAGAGTCTGCAGAGCCGAGATTGAGAAACAAAGTCCTCACTTCGATGACGATTCCCAATCGCTTTCGCGGTCTGTATCGTCTTCATCCCTCAACACATCCCCCTATCACCATTATCATGAAGCTAATTACAATCAGATCAGATGGCAGGGTCGGAGCCCTACTCATCAGCCACCTTTGATCGTGGAGGTAAAGTCATCCGGTGAGTTTCTGAAGCGTGTCCAGCATCTGATACGGAGATGATGGATTGGATCAAGTCGGCCTCGACTATTACAAAGAAGAGAGATATAGACGAATATGCGCACCTCATGTGGTCCCGGTGTCTAGGCCTCGCCTGGCTGGGCCTGCAGGTTTTTTGAGACTTTTTCTCGCGCTCGCAGTTTCCATTGCCATCTTTTTTAATTTTTAATTTTGTGTAGAAGGTTCAGTGGAAAAGGTGGCCGAATTCCACGGGTAAAATCTAAGCTGAATGGCTATTCATCACGGGCAAAATATCAATGATCTTTCAAGGAACATAAGGGGCAAGGAGCGCTGTACAAGATGTGGCCTGGGTCAGAGAGGAGCTCAATCTGCTAGATAATCTATGACTCAAGTAGTACAAGAAATACACCTCTCTTATTGCGAAAAATATCAAAGATCTTTGTTGTCGTCGGCTAAGAATAACCACTGAAGAAGTTGGACAGAGAAATGTCTCGGGTCAAAAATTGGGACTGTCCATACATACGTGGGTTGTTTTTTTCGGTCAGTGCTTGCATTCTGTATTTAGAACTGCAGGCTATTTTGGAAAGCGGCAAATATATTTACTGATAAACAAACAGGCAGCGCCAAAATGAACTTCAAAGATACACCCTTAAGAATCCACCGTAACCTAACCAGGGCCCAAAGCAGTGTCGCTATTCAGCTAAGAAGCGAGCATATCGGACTCAATTCTTACCTGTGCAGAAGAAAAGTACCCGGAGTAGAAAAGCCAAGCTGTCAATGTGGATATCCGTGGCAAAACGTCAAGCATATGGTGTTGGCGTGTCCGCAGTGGGCAAATGGAAGAGACGACTTTCTCCGACAAGCTCAAGACAGGTTATTTGAGGCAATGATGAACAGCCCAGAAGATGTGGCTAGAATCACACAGTGGATACTAAGCAAAGGGTGGATAAAACAGTTTCGACTTGCAGGGGAAGCCGAGGTAGCAACGTCGGAAAAATAAAAAGATCTGGAAGGGGAGAGGACAAAATACACATTGGCTGAACATTGTACACTGCACTTCCTGAAGGTAAACTAAATAAATTGATAGGAATATAAACAGACAGGATCAGGGGGGTTTCACCAAATTGGTTTCCTCCTTTGTAAATAATGAAGATAGTCACCGGCATGGACCCATAGGGTGCCTGATCGGGCTAATTGCAATCATATTCAAAAACTGCAGGTTATTCAATTCCTAGCGCATGTCTATATCTAGAGATCAAGAGATCAAGTCAATCATGATCAGTGTATATAGTCCTAGAATTCCGGGAGAAATAGGAATGAAATTGTTTTTACTGAGTTATCTTTTAATTTAATTACATACACTTCGCCTGTGACAGGTAAGGCTCCCCGTTACCTGACATTTGTTGAATACGACTCTGTGATCTCCAATCTCAAATGGGATAGGTCTCCAAGCTATCTATAATTTACTTGGCAAACTGTCCTGGATGATGTACCAGTATACGATCTAGCCAAGGTTGTGTTTTCTGTGTCATCTGCAATATTGGAATCAGTCAACTTAATTGAGACCTGCATCCAAAGCGATCTGGAATCGGCAACATAGTACATGCAACCCTGCGGGCTAAGTATGCTAAAGTCTCAAGTGCGACAAATAGAGTTCTACAAGTTTGATCAAATTTTGAGAGATAGAGAGAGAGAGTATGTGTGCCAGGGTAAAGGTCATAGGATAGATTGAAGAGGTCTAATCTGGTAACTGAGATTGTCTACTAAGGGAAAATATGACTCCTATCGAGTCTTAAAAATATGTCGTGAGCCGCGCATCAGATACGTGATAGCACGTGACTATACGATAATGCAATCTACACCATCACTTGAGAATGTGTTCACTGCCAAAGCATCCATTAGACTACCTATCCCATACACGCACACCATTGAACTTATCCTGGTTTCTTATAACCCGTAAAATCGAGCAGCACTATGGCTGCGCACAATCAGCCGTCGTCCTTGGCGTCAATCGACCCAGGCGACCAACTACACCCGAGCCTTCTTGGGATTGCTGCTGCGATGAAGCAATCAGAGCGCGAAAGAAAGCAGAGAATGAGCCTAGCTCAGGATTTTCTACAAGATATCGACGCCTGGGCGAAATCCAAGGTAGGAACTGAAGGCGCGGTTCTAGTCGCGCCTTTCATCGAAAATATTTCACCCATCGTGTCAGCGTTCGCAATAGGAAAGACCGATGCTACAGTCCCCAAAAACAAGCGATAAATCGCACCACCAACTGCCCCAAAAGCCACAGGAGACTGCGAACCCGTGGCCTACAGTAGCTTGGAAAGCGGCTAAGCTCCCAGATCCACCCGCGTTCCCCACCCCTCGAAGGCCCACTACAGATGTAAAGCATAACGCACGAAACCCCCAAAAGAAGACAAACGTCTCTTTGTCAGATTGGGGCAAAAACATGTCGCGCGAAAATCGTCTCCAGTCACAATAAAGAAGATGATCACTGAGAAAGCGGGAGTTGCGGCATCTGTAATCACGGCTATGCATCAGGTTCGATCAGGCCTAGCACTGGAGTGCGCATCAGACGGGCTTCTAGAAACAATACTGGGAGTTGCAGGAATATTTCGGCAAGA